TGATTACCCTGCTGTGATACACACAGCAATCCAGTGATACAAATGTACTTTTTCAGTATTCTAAGAATTCAGGAGGAATTGTACTATTAATCTCATTTTGCCACAGAATATATATGACGAATTAAGTGGATTAAGTTTCCATATCCTGCCTTATTGATGTCTATTAGCCTTGATTTAGAGGAAAAGATTGGGTAAAGTATATCAATTTACAAAACAATTAAACCTTGGGTTTCTCTGCCTGCATTTGCCAATACAGGACCTGATTATCGCCAGTTTTGATTCAGTGGTGTGGACATCGAACCATTAAAAATTGCAAGTTAAAAAAAATTACGGAGGAAAGCCATCATATAGCACTGTCTTTGATTAGTGTACTTGAGGTTATGACTTTAAGTTGTTTGTGGAAGTTTTGCAGAACATTTCTGAAGGACCATATCTTACCTTTTCTTTTCAATCTAATAGGAAGATATAAATCTGGCTGGCCTGTAAACGTTATTACTGGTATTCCCAGTAATTGTTCTTAATAAGATGTCAGACCAGCAAGCAAATAATAAAAACAAAATGAGAGCAGAAAGAATGAAGTTTCCGGGAAGATGTTCCTCTAATTCTAGGAATATTCAAACTTTGTCTGTGATCCTTTCTAAGATGTGAATAGATGTTATGTGAGTGTTTATATAAGTATGATGTACCATTGGGTCTTACAAAGCTGGGGTTGTTTAAAAAAATGAACTTACTGATTTTATACGGAGGGAGGCAAAAAAGTGCCCAGAGTTAAAAGCTTCTATTGAGCAAATGTAGAAGGCAAACACCTAGATTTTTAAAACAAAGACTGAAGGGAAGAGCATAGTGTGCGATTCCTATCAGAAAACACAAAAGAAAGGACAAAGCAAATTACATTCTAGGAAGGGAATAACCTCAAGGCTTTATGTTTGTATTGCCTGGATGATGAGAAACACAAAGAGGAAAGAGTTATGTTTAGATTTGTGGTACAAACAATTGCAAGATAATCTCAAAGCTGAACTGTTTGTACGGAACTGTTGATGCCACCTGTTAACAAGGGACAAGATAAAGGGATACTACAGAGCACACATTAGTCAGACAGAGGGACAGAGGCAAAAACTGCATGTCAACAGTCTGCTTTGAAACAGGAAGAAAGAGAGATTAAAAGTTGTGGGAGTGAGACAGAAAAAAGGAAAAAAAGGTAAGGCTTGAGATTTTTTGCTTGTGAAGACTGCAATTGCAAATAGAAACCTCTGGAGAGCACATCAGAGTCTTCTGGCACATGTGTATATTGATAGTTATAGCTCCAGAAAGTTCAGGTAAACAATTGGATGAGCAAGGAACTCCTGGCAAAACTCCAGCAGAAGAAGGAAGTGTACAGAATGTGGAAAAGGGGACAGGCCACTTGGGAGGAATACAGGGACGTTGTCAGAGCGTGCAGGGATGCGACAAGGAAGGCTAAGGCCCAGCTAGAATTAAATCTGGCAAGGGACGTCAAGGACAACAAGAAGGGGTTTTTCAAATACATCAATAACAAAAGGAAGACTAGGGAAAACATGGGCCCACTGCTGAATGGGGTGGGTGCCCTGGTGACGAAGGATACAGAGAAGGCAGAGTTGCTGAATGCCTTCTTTGCTTCAGTCTTTCCTGCTAAGGCCAGTCCTGAGGAATTCCAGACACTGGAGACCAGGGAGGAAGTCTGGAGAAAGGAAGACTCTCCCTTGGTGGAGGAGGATCAGGTTAGAGAGCTTTTGTCCAAACTTGACATCCA